GTTGTATGTTCTTTTAGAAGGTATTATTTGCACTTTGTTTGCTGAGAAAAATATGAATGTATTATTTCAAAAACTTCATTCCAAGTCAGAACGCCGCCCCATCTCTCATACAGTAAATATTCTCCGTTTTGTTAGAAAATCACATTAATAATTATTTAAGATTAATTTGTTTAGATTGATACAATAGTTAATCCATTTAAATCTGGAATAAAAACAATCAGGAATGTTCCTGAACAATTGATAAGTACAGTAGATGAGGTTGTGGAAGGTATCAGTAAAGTATTTCAAACTAAAAACCAGAATCAAGAGTCATCTAAAGTAGGGGCTTCCTTAGACACCGAGGTATGATAAATTTTGCTTTTTTTAATGTTTTATGTACTGATTTTTCCATTTATAGAGCGGCGATAATATTCCATTAAGAATAATGTTACTCCTCATGGATGAAGTATTTGATCTTAAATCTCGAAATCAGTGGCTAAGAAGGAGAATCGTAGCACTCTTAAGACAGATTATACATACAATGTTTGGAGATATTGTAAACAAGAAAATTTTAGATTATGTTTCTTATATGACCAGTCCCAAAAACGTGGCACATTATTTGCAGGCGTTCAAGTAAATATTTTAGTTATACATATTTATATATATATATGTATGTATATAATATTTTAGACAGTCGTTTTGGCCTAATGGTAAAAAAGTTGAAAAAAGACCAGAAAGGGATGAGCCAACACGTTTTAGAACAAGAGTCGCTGCCAAGGTTGCTTTGCTATCTTGTCTATCAGGTATCATCACCATAGTTATCTTCTTTGTAAATTTTATGTTATTCTGCGTCAATTACTACAAACCGCATAGTGAACGCCATCTACAGAAAATTGCTACATTTTGCGAGATCCAAGTCCATAAAGATATTGGCTTGTGTGTTGGTAACCCTATGTGGTGGACACGTAACCAAACAGCAGAAACGTGTCTACACCGTGGGTTCAATTTACGCTGTTTGTAATAATTCATCAAACACTGTCTAAAGGCAACACGTAGAGTTGGTCCGGTTTCATAGTCTGTTTATATTCTACTCGTCATTAATATCATAATTAAATATTAACTTGACCTAATAAGTTACGGTTTGTCGTTGCTGTTATTGTCACTTCTGGTAGCATAAAGGTGACAGCAATAGCAATTTTTCCTCATTAAGTTGAGGTAATTTACAGTGGATGGATGAAAATTGAGAATGAATTTTTATATTATTATTTCAAGTTACTATTAATAAATT